AATTGCTTCCTTGACAACCTCCAACTCATTTCCTCTAACATCCGAGTCAGGCTTCAATAGCTGCTCACCCTAATTTAATCGCACAAGAGACAGTAACATCATATCTTTTAGAATAGTACTTTACAAGGTACCAGGCTGAAACAAATCAAGAAGCTGGGAATTTACGTTAAGCCCTCCGTACCACATCAAAATCATGTCCGAGCACTTCAAACAAACTAAATATAAAACATTAAGATGTGAGATTGCAGCTCCTCGAGTTCAGTGGCTTCTCAACAAGAGCTGGATGTTGTGAGGGTGATATTCTCGAACCCATCAGGAAACCAGAGCAAAAACAACAACACATCAGGGCCCAAATCTTGTTCCTGACCGCACGGAGCACGTTTCCTCCAGAGTGAAATTCAGCATAGATGAGGGATGAATGCAAATAAATAATGTCATCAAGCTCGCATCCTGTTGAAGTAGACAGATTAGACCCTGGGTATTGGTAGTAGTACGCAATGCTGCATAAATAAATAACTAATGCATAAATAATCCACCTTACACCCAACTGAACGTCCTGTTTTCCCCACATGGACATTTCACTCCAGCTTCGGCGGTCCCTGTAGGCCTCTATAACGCGTTATCACTCTTATCACTCTGTAAACATTTATTTCTGCTTACTAATGCTGAATAAAATGCGACAAACAACCGTCACTTATCACAAACTCTGTAAAATTGCATCAAAGCCAATTTAAACCATGTTAGAAATGAGGTAAGAGAACTGCAAAGTGCACCAGTGTGCTGATATATTGTAGGATATATTGCCATTGTTTTCTATATTCTGTGTTGTACTGATTAGATGAAGCCGCTTTCAGTCAGTTTAAAGGTTTCCACGTGCGTAAACAGGTAAGCAGCAACAGTAACAGTCTTATTGCTTTCCTTTAAACAATTCCACTGTATGACCCTGGACTGTGTGTGTGACCTTTTGGATGTGTAGAAGATCATTAAGATTAACATCAGACGCTGCTGTGCATAAATGTGCCCAAAGTGCCTCTCTTAATGGGGAGACGCTTCACCCTATGTCAGTAGGATTTAGGATTTTAATTATGGGACTTATCTAAAGGAATAATTTGACATTTTAATCTCTTTCTTGCTTTCCGGCTAACTTAGCTTAGCACAAAGACTGGAAACAGCTAGCCTGGTATGTCCAAAGGCAACAGTCCTGCCTACCAGTACCTCTATAGAGACTGTCAGTAACTTCGCTCTGTAACCTAAAGACAAACTAAAATTAAAAGGCAATACATAAGTTTCTTAATGCAAACCAAAAGACAGGAAATAAAGTCACACCGAAGCTCCGATTTTGGATGCAGATCACATTTCTTCACCTTTAAAACTGTTGAAAGATATTGTTGGATGGTCTGATATTTCTTTTGCTTCAAGAGAAAACTCAACAATATCAGCTGTGTGTCACTGTGTGTGGACTCTGCAGGCTTCGGCTGAGGTCGGAGCAACAGCAGGAGGCGGTGTTATCTGTAGTCTACGCTGATCTTTCTGCTTATTAGTCATTATCTTACATCATCAGCAGCATTATGGACGCTACGCTGATTTCTGATATTCCCACGGGGGCCATATAATCGTCTCCCAGTGGCGATGGTTTCCTCGCTCGTGTGTTTGGTGACATACTGTGTCGGCTGTGTGTTTGTAGGGTCACTGTTGTGATGGGTATGAGTGAATTATTCATGGAGCTGTTGTTTATATTGTGTTTTCTTAAAACCATCTTTAATGTGAAGTGGAGCTTCACAGTCAAGGATGGAGAAAACATCCAGGTACTTACGTAAGAGGGAAAGATAGTGTGTGTGTGTCTGTGTGTGTGTGTGTGTCCAATCAGAGCACATTATGGATAAGTGCTTCACGCTGCTCGGCTTGTCATACATGATTGCTAATGAGATTTGTGCCAACGACAAGCTACATCTTTAGCAGTGACCCATATGAATAAAACAACATGAGTCATTTATGTTATGTTAAATAACTAAATCATGCAGACAAGAAACAAGAGCCCTTTCCTTCAATATATATATATAATCCCTGAGTCTTTGAGACGCTACCTTGCCAAAAATATGTGGACACCTAGACGTTACATTGAACATCTCTCTCCATAACCATCATCATTAATCAGCTGCTTCAACAGCCTCCACACCTCTGGATTCTTTGCACCAGATGTTGGAAGAGCTAATTTAATTCCTGAAGTGACCTACATGACGAATGTCGATCCACAGTGATGTAAAAAGTCACATTAATTCTGATATGATATGATATTCGCATATCACTCTGCAATTAATCAGACCTGTATCTGATTTGGAAGACTCCCGACAGTTCGCAGACAGATCTTTGCAGGAAAAGTCTTCTTAGTCCTTTCAGTGAGGACAGGTAACGTCATTCTTGGTGGATTGTGGGAAGTAGAGCACCAAGTTTATCAGGTGTAGCAGCTGGCGTTGAAAGTAGGTCTCAAATCAGCATCATGAGATATCATCATGCAGAAGAGGAGAGTGTTGGAGTCTGATCCACAGGAAAATTAAAACAGTATTTACAAATTCAGCCAGAAAGAGACCAAAATGATCAAGTATGGAGTTTTCCAGTGTTGGGAGTGATGCCATTGGGAATTAATTATAATTTTTACATAATTACTCATCAAACATTAAGATAATCTACAAATATTGCTGTCTGGATTAGTGTCTAAACTGCAATATTACATCTTTCTCTCAGCTTGAACTGCTCCTCATGTTTTTGAAACTGATGTATCCTCCACACGAACCTCACCGTCATTTTTTCACTCTAACTTTGTTAACGCACATTAAGCCTGAAAGCTGCCTGTTTCTCTTTCGGTGGTGAGTGACTGCCTCCCCTGCAATCAGCTGCAGATTCACCCCAAATGAGTTTCAGGAGTTCTTCGGAGGAGGAGAGGGGAGGAGAGGGAAGAGGGGAGAGGAGAGGGAAGGGAGGCACAGCTGCTTCTGCTTCAGACTGATGAGGATGTTAAGTTTGTTTGGATTCAAGAATTTAACGTAAGAAAGAGCTTTAAAGTGAAGGAGATGATGTTCTTATTTCGTTAGGACCCGTTGAATCTTTGCTCTTCTCTAACTCTTTTTCATTACTAATATTTGTCTCATTCTATGTTTAATTGTTATGCACCAAGAAACCAAATTCCTCGTATGTGAAAACCTATTTGGAAATAAAACTCATCCTGATTCTGATTGAATTAAACTGTAAAGTTAGACTATCAACACACGAAGAAGTCAGTAGCCGAACTTCTTGGAAATCAGACACATTAAATATCAAGTCTGTGACTCGTTCTTTCATTTCCTATTTTTGACTTACAAATAATAAGCCGTTATTTTTCTTTCGATTCATAAATTAATAATGAAATAATCTTTGTTTGTATACATTTCTGATCAAAATGTGGTCCAATTTATAGTAACTGTGTTAGGTTCGGAACTTAAATGGACAATAGTATATAAAAGTGCAAAATAGAGCATAAATGCACAGAGGTTTGGTTTTGGTTGAGTGGGAAAACAGTGTCAAAGCAATGAAAAGTGATCCACACTTTAGTTCTGATGTGCTGACTGTGGGAAGTGACTATTAAGAAATGCATAAAAAAACCCCTCTGAGTTCAGCTCTGATAAATGATTTGCAGTTAATTTGAGAACCAGCAGCTCCTTTTTGTTTCATTAGTTTGAAATAACCTCAATAAGATTTCATCTCTCACACACACGAGGTGAATTAATGTGACAGCAGGTCTGGAAGGTGTTGCTGTGACCTACGTAAGATAAAAGAAATCCAGGACTGTATAAGTGTGTGTTACTCGCCAGCCAGCTATGTGTGTGTTGCTGTGAATTACAAATGTTCCCAGTGGACGGACGGCCAGGATCAGAGGGATGGCTAATGAACTGACAGACTCTGAATCCCCAGTGTAATGGAAATCTTTTTCTTCTTCTGCAGAAGGTGCAGCTCTTCTTGTGTTGTTTTTTTTATTTGCCAGATAAGAAGGATAATACCCACGGGAATAACACTCATTATCGTATGATAATATGTATGCTGTTTGATTTTTTTCCCTTTTAATTTTGACTTTCATGAAATCAAGTCCTTCCTGTTTTATTGCATTTACCACTGCAGGTTGGAGATATTTGAAACCAATTCCTAATTCCTGAATCGATTTAAATAACTTCTATATCTATTTTACTTCACATGCACATTTATTGGTGTGGTGGACACAGATCAGATTAAACTAATTGACTGTATGCTGGTCTGACCAGAGGCTTTCTTGGACTTTATTTATTTAAAACATTCATTTTCCCAATATAATTCCACTCAACTTCAACCGGAGCAGAAATCTAATTGTGCAAAATATCTGAAAACACCTGTGGGTGTTTTTAAAGTTAATTGATTTAAGTTTCATTAAGCATCAAACTTTTTTATTCCATCCCCTGGAGTTTAACTACTGTATGGCAAGTTTCATGTCACATGGGACATTTAACACTAATACCAGCAGACAACTAACGGTAGTGGATGGAAACGAACAGCCAATTTTCTTAAGATTTGGTTAAACATTGCACTACATTTGGATGAAAACCAGGCTACTCAGTTTATAGTTGAATGTTGGCTTACTGATAAATTAGAGCAGAGTCATCATTAGTATTTTTAGTTTTTCTTGTTTCTCGCTGATATGTAGCGGCTTCTACAGCAATATCCAAATCTCAAGCATTGAAAAAATACATTAAAACCTCAGTTTTTCTCTCTATCTGTGCCTAAAAATGCAACCAGCAGCTCTAACAAGCACAATTAGTTGCACCTCTACTAAAGTGTCATCCTCATTTATGCACACAGTAACTGGACCTTTGCTTTTATTATGCGAGGCCACTTTCTAAAGCCTCACTTGTTCTTTATGTGCAGCTCAGTGACCTTTTACATGAGCTGCTGTTTGTGTTTATCTCCTGTCATTAATGTTTCTGTGTTTCCCCTCTCAGATTCAGAGGTGGTGTACAGGAACCACGACGGACACGTCATCAAGTTTAACTTCGCCTTGAACGAGACGGAAGTCATTCTGAGCAACAGCACGTTTGTAAGCTTTGTTAAACAGTTATTAATCTGTATTAACCCTCATATTAGATTATTTTACTACCATATATTTTGTGTCCAGTTGTAGAAAAACAGTGAATTATCTCTTCAGCTTTCTTCTACTTAAAAGATAACAGAACAAATAATATCAGAAAATAGTTTTTCTTATTAGAGAATAAGTGTGGCGGCAATTTTAACCTTTAAGTTTAACTTTAACATATTTGTCCCTGAGGGTAATTTGTCTTCCAGGCTTGAATGTTCACTAGAGAACATTATAAAATACATGATATAACTGAGTAAACCCTACCACACACTGATTTAAGATAAGATACGATGAACCTTTGGGAAATTCAAATTGACTCACCAGCACAGGGGGATGTTGTGTAAAAAGAAAAGAAAGAAAAATATAATGATAAAATCTGAATAATATTTTCAATATACAGAGTAAATTGGATAGAATAAGCATGGTGTGTGGTTTAGAGTCTCAATCAGCGGAGATAGGAGGTCCTGGGGCTTTGATGAGTCTGTCCATGGGCAGGATGAGAGGGGTTGTCTGTGATGGCTTTCAGCTTCCCTTTCATCCGCTGTCCAGTTCCAGCTTGACTCCGTCTCTCTCATCTGGATTTTGTCTTGACTTGGTCTTAAACATTGTCAGTACGTATAACGGACAGAGCTTCCAGGTCTGAAAAGTGAAGCCAGAAACATGTTATAGTGAACTGTTTATCTGAAACACGTGTGTGACCAGGTGAGCCGCCATTGTTTCCTGCTACGGATGGGTCAAAACTGCACAGCCAATGAGGCAGACAGTACAGGTCCTTGGGGTGTCTGTAATCCACTGTACTCTGCACTGTAGAGGTCGAAGAACATGATCCTTACGGTGCTTTGTGGCTTCTCCGGGTGTGTGCATAAGCTCGGTGAAGTAGGTAGACGATGTCAGCCTGAGGTGCTGTAGACCCAGACACTGCAGACTCTGTAAAAACTGCTAAAATATTGAGAACTTCTTGCTATTTTTAGGTATTTTCGGACAAAAACATAACTTATTAATATATTGCTCTGATATTAAAGTTACGAAATGATGAAAATAAGATCATTACATTACACTTTTTAGGAAAACAAAAGAGCTTTAAAGCTCCAAAAGATTTTTCCTTCTGGGGCTCATGCAAGTTACATGCATAGTATATGTATACTATATATATGCCTCCTAACATTGCTTCTGGACAGTTCTCAACAATGTTCTTTACAGAAGAGATGGAGCTGCTCTCTTCTTGTCTTGCTGGTGTGATTGGATCCCCAGAGGCTGCAGGGAACATGTCAGAGCTGCCGGCAGCACCTCATCACTCTGTTACCTGCAGAATCAGAATATGATAATATTGCTGCTGAGAGGGAGGTTGCTCTGCGGGCGAGCTCGGGGCTGTAAGGTCGCTAAATCTGCTCACCTCGACTCACCTCGGCGCAATCACCAGGAAGAGGCAGATTCAGGTTGAAATAGTGTTTTAGCTTAGCGTGTGCCTGCTTGTGATGCAGTCAAATCCCTAAATAATCAGTAAAAAATCCCCCTTATCGATCTCCTCGTGAACTTGCAAAATGACAAATTAACCTTTACCGTTATAATATGCAGCTTTACTTCCAGGAAGATGAATATATGTCAGTATTTGTAATCTTATTATCCTTTTAAATTCTTTGAATTTCAGAGTAATCCAACCAGGAATGTTTACCAAAAGTCATCCAAATTTAGCTGTTTTTCTAATTGCATCATTATAATCCTGCAATTTCATAACACTCATACATCGTAAACCTTTTATTCGTGTCATCTCGGATTCTCTGTAAAGCACCCTTTTTTTTGGGGGATAAACATGTTTCTTTTCCTGCCTCCCTCTTTCCATTTTGCAGAATTGTTCCACCCTGTTGTAGCTTGCACTTTTAATGGTTGCATAAGGGGATTTGATGAGGATTTGAGGCCCCGTGGTAAGCTCGTCAAACTATGCAACAAAAAATCATAAAAAGCAGAGGTGGCCTCGGAGTTGAAGTCACTGATTTGACCCCCCCAAAATTGCAAATGCCACCGGCTGCAGGATCTAAACTGAACACACTCGCTGCCTGGCTGCACAGCGTCCAACAGTGAGCTCCACTAAAGAAACATTTCTTCATGTATTTGAGTCCAAAGAACCAACCATACCCATATCAGTAAGTCAGACATAGTTTTTAAGTCCTGTCCAATCATCTCACAACACAACAGCTGTGACTGTGGACATTTTGGAAATGTCGTATATAAAATATCTGTCCACCCTCGTCCTCTCCCAGAAAATGTCAAAACCTGCCTTGGCTCCCTTGTGGTTTTATGGCCTTTAGCTGCTTGATTAGTTTTTGCCTGCTGCATTTTTTGTCATTGTCATGGGATGAAAGCCAGAATAATGAGCAATGTTAGCGTACACCAAACAAGCAATCAGAACCTGTCAAACACAAATCATCTTGTTTTTCTCAAGTTTTTTTTTTCTTCTTCAATCCAAACTATCAAAAATATTGGTGCAAAGTATAACCTCACAGAGCTGCTAGCATGGCTTTAAACTCTTGTTTTCTCATGTTTTTACTTACTTCATTGACTTTTTTGTAATACTAAAAAATACATTTAGCATATTTAGCTTCTTGCTAGTTTTAAGCCACGCTGGCAGCATGCCTCGAGTGATGGCGATGTTGAGGTCAGTCGGTCCGCCACATTGGTCCAGACTGAAAAAGCTCAAAAACTACTGGATGGATTTCCATAAAATATTTTACATACATTTGTGGACACCAGAAGATGAATCCCACTGCCTCTGATGATCCCCTGATTTATTTTCTTTAGCGCCACCATGAGGTTCACATTTGTGGTTTTGAGTAAAATCTCTCCAAATCATTGATTGGGTCGGGATAAAATTTGTGTTTCCATCAGGATTCATTGTAATAATTTTGGTGTCGTTTGAACTTTTCATCTAATGCCTTGCTAATTTAAAGAAAATAGCCTAATTATGACTTTGTTTGTGAATCTACTTCATCTACTTGTGGCTGCTAAAAGACAAAGAAGATCTTCAATCATTCATCTGATTTGTTTCCTTTCTCGTCAGGTGGCTTTCAAGGTGGCAAAGTACTCGCTCTCGGCGGATCTGAAGTACGTGCTCTTCGCTTACGATGTCAAACAGGTGAGTTTTTTCAAATTAAAATGCATCCTCGGCCCAAAACAACTCATCAAAAATCACCTGAACATCATTACATGGAAGAACAAAAACCCCTTTTCGTGATTTGCGTTCCCTCTCACAGCCGCACAAGCTGTGATTGGGATTGTGGATCATCCTCATTCTCTTTGCCTTTGTTTACCTCTTGGCAGGCTGTCATTTACATTGTGCTCCTGTGCAATACCCAAGGGTGCTGTCACTCACTCATGTGCACACACACACACACACACACACACACAAAGCTGGCTGTGTATACCTGCAGCTTTGTGACATGCTCGTTTTTATTCGTATTTATGCTCCTTTGTTCTCAGAAGAGCACTTTTTGCTATACTTTCTTAAATTGTAATTGAAAGATTAGCTTTGAAGCTTGGATAATTTGGAGCCGGGTCTGGATCAAGCATACAAAAACAGTTGGGGGAAGCACAAATACACACATACACACACACACTGTTTCGGTCTGAAAACAAATGGCACCTCCTGCACTGAACAGATGTGGAATCATCTGTCGTGTTTCTGTTTGGTTGGCCTTTACGTGTGGTTTTTGTGATTCTTGGGCATTTTTTGCTTTGTGTATCCTACGTGTTTCTTACTTTCAGTTCTTTGTGTTAACATTCAGTCATCTGTCATGAAGCTTTCTTCTCTCCTCAAAGTCAAGGCTTTTGCATTGATTTTTAGATTGGTTTGCAAACAGGTTCAGGTTTAGAAACACTAGAGAACCAGAGGACGTATGTGTGTCCTGCAGTCATAATAAAAACCACACATTAGTTTAATGTTAGATTAATGTATGTTTGATACAGTAACAGATTCAAGTGTTTTTCTATTTAAGAAAGAGACCTTCTGAATATGTAGGAACATTGTTTTTTTAAAGCTTTATTTTTCCTCCACTTCTCTTCTGTGTATTACGCTTAATTGATTGCACTCCGGTTTTATTTGTTGCCAGGGCAACTTGGAATCCCCTTGAGGTACAAGTAGTTATTTTTTTTTGCTCTCAATAGAATTTCTTTTATATAATGCACCACCATGCATGAAGGGAAATCAGCTGTCCAGCAGTCATACAGCACAGTTAAACCAGCAGTAAAGGAAAGGAGGAGATTTTTTGGACTGTGGCACAAAACAGTGTAGATCTCAAAGTTTCTCTGGCTGAATGTCAGGGGGGAAATAATGCGTAAGATGTTGATTAAATATTTAATTCTTTGTAAACATAATCTAGGATTCATACAGATCTGGAACAAGCTGAAACAGAATGTATATGATACTGTCAGACAATGTGGAATAAGGCGATTTTTCCCATTTCAAAGCTTCTTTTGGGGAAAGCAGTGGATGTTGAAGGTCCAGTGTGTAGCATGTAGGACGATCTATTGGCAGAAATGGGACATCATATTCATAGGTTTGTTTTTATTGGTGCATCATCAGGTGACCAGGGCTAGTCAAGACCAAGTCCAGAGAGGTTTGAGTTCCCACCAAGACCAACACAGGAAAACAAGGATCCTCTTCTCGACATCTGACTTACTGTACTTGTTATATTTTTGTGATGCTAGAGAGAGTTTCTTCTATTTTAAGATGATAATTTTGAACTGTCATATGTAATGATCCAAAAACAGTGAAACCACACTGTAGGATCAAATCACTGTTTATGTAGAGTTTATCCTTTTCACTACAAGTCTGAGTACTACAGTACTGGTAAAAACAGTACAGACAAGATCTCACCACTCCAAAACAAGGACAGGAAATAAAAAATATAATCAAACAAACTAAATATAATTTGAAAAAGATGAGCATGATAAGCAAATAAGTGGGAAGTATGCATTGTATATGTATACATAACAAAGCTGTGAGATATATATATATATATATAAAAGGCTTTTCAAACTCGAGTGTCTCAGATTGAAGCAAGAAAACCTTTTCTTGACGTTGCCTCGCGGTTTCAGAAGCGGATCAGTGTTTGCATTACGTGATGAGTTGAACTCTCGTTGCAGGTGTACAGATATTCCTACACAGCGTCTTACATCGTTTACAACATCTACACGAGGTGAGCGAGTTAACCTTTTCTCGTCATGTTTGGACGCTCTCCTGGATAAAATCATTTTTAGCACCTGATGCACGCACATGGTGGCATTCAGAAACAGATGGTGGTTGTTAATATTTATATATTTATTTGTGTGTGTATCAGGGAGGTATGGGAGCTAAACCCGCCAGAGGTTCACAACGCAGTGCTCCAACATGCAGCTTGGGGAAGACAAGGACAACAACTGGTAAGGCTGAGTGTGTTTATGTGATCCAGTCTCTCCATTGCTTCTCCATCTTCTTCTCTCCTCCCCTCTCCTCCTTTTTATAAATGCATGCAGCTTCGTCCCTACGGAGGGATTTCATCTACACAATCTGATCTTTTCTTCTCTGGGTTTTTACAGTATGGGCCCTGTTTACATCCACTCTGAGTTGTGTCTGTATGTGTTTGTTTGAGTGAGTCTGCTCTGCCACTGACCTAATTTACAGCTGTGAACATTTGTACATTATTATACTCCCTTTACACAGGAGTGAGGACTTCTGCAACACACCTACAGTGTTATTTGAGCCAAGAAAGTATAGGTGATACTTTATTCTACAGGTCCCTTTTATATAATAATTTCCTAGGGAGGATCTGATTGTAATTTTGCAAGAAGGTTCCTGGAAAGGATTGTAATTTGCTACTAATTACAACAAAAAAGACGACAGTGTTTAACACATCCAAATGTAATTATAGGCGAAGATACAGTGAGGACTGCTGCACACCCACACAGGTATTTTGTTTGTATTCCACTAAGACTGAAAACTATGCTGGAAATTGGCACCAGACTAAAATAGAAAGATAGATTATCGTCTTGAGGAAATGTGTTGCTGCAGTTTGTACAAAGCTTCACATAAATACACAGGTACACAACAACCTTGAGAAAGACATACAGCACATTTATACACACGTAAAACATCTACACATGACGGTTACAGAGGTGTTTGTTTGAGCCAGTATCTCCTGTTACAGTTGAACATGAGGCAACACAGCCTCACTCACTCCCAACTCGTCAAATACAGCAGCTTGGTCAGTGGCCATGGTCAAGTTAGCAGCGTCTGGTTACACTTTCAAAATAAAGTTGTGTTAGGTCACAGTTTAGGCACAAAAACTTCTTGGTTAGCCTGACGTTACAACAGTTACAGCCGTCTCCTGGGTTCCTGTCCTGTCCTGCGTTTGTTTGAGCCACCTCCATATGAGAGGGCTGAGGGTCCAGTCATGATGTTATTTTCATAATACTGATAAAGGGTACCTATATGATAAATGTTTTATTTGATGTTTGCAAGGTCTTTCTTTTGGTAAAGCAGTATGAAAAAAAAGCTGTTTTTCTAAAAACGAGTGAAAAGAAATAACTCCCCATGCCGGAGGAAAATGATTTCAGGAGGATATGGGTGAACATGCAGGATGTGTCGGGGCTGATCAAATGCAAATATTAAAACACTGATGGAAGGAGGAGAGCAAACACACACGTTTCCCTGCGTGGCGAGATAAACCAGCAGCTTTAATGTGAAAAAAACTAAATCTCATCAGAGAGGAAAATCAGAAATAAAAACAGATGGAAGCAGAACTCACAGCAGCATGTGTGACAGTGTCAATCAATTAATTTATTATCTCCTCTTTCTTTTCAGATCTACATATTCGAGAATAACATCTACTACCAGTCAGATGTGAGGAGTAACTCTCTGAGAATCACCTCCTCTGGGATGGAGGGAGTCATCTTCAACGGACTTGCAGACTGGTTGTACGAAGGTGTGTGTGTGTGTGTGTGCAGCTCTGCAACAACGCTGTATTTTAGCTTTTATATTTGTGGGGGTTTTCTTGGTGTTTTTTTAAGTTTGATTCTGGCTGATTGATTCCAGGGAGAAAACATTTGGTATTCAGATTCAGTGTTTTTATACCAGCTATATTGCTGTGATGGAGGGATTAAAACAGCATAGTGCAAGGATAGAAAAACACACCAAGCAGTCAAAATAAATAAATGATATGTGAAAGAAAAATATGTTTTTTTTAGTGGTTAGTTAAATATTTCTTTTGGGGGGGAAGTGCTGGGATTGTTTTTAAAATCCTGGCTCTGCATGCGCACACTATACTAAACTGTGTAAATGTTATTGTTATATTTTTTCCTTTATTAAAATGCAAAAGTTCTCCTCCACACAACGTTTTTCTTCTTCCTACAGTAGGGATTTTATTCAAAACACAACTACAACACAATTATCGATTCTGATTCTTTGTCGATTGTCTTCACGCAACTGTTATGTTAAACAAATAACTTAAATTAACTGTAGTTGCATAAATCATTCACATAAGACTGGTTAGCAGTAACCTTTGGGACTAATGCAATGCAGTTGTTTTGTCTTTTCATGTGAAGCAGCAGCAATAGGAATTGTTCGGTTAGCATTAGCAGTAACTTGGCAGATTAACAGTGAAGATTGAGAAACCTAACAAATTCAACATTTTCATGTTGGGCGAACATTCAGCCAATGAAATAATAGCAAAGGTAAATATTCACCATTTTTAAACTACTCAAGGTTGAGAACCACTGCTGGAGGGGTTGAGTGAGTTTTGACTCATGAACGTATTTTTAGTAAGTAACAGGTTCGATTAATCTGTTAATAATCTCTTGATATGCTGAATAAATTCTGGCTTCAAGCTCCGATTTGGAAAGGTTTGGGAATGTTTATGTTCAGACGGCAGAAGGCAGAGGGAGAAATGCTGCGTGATCAATGATGGAGGATGTAGTTTTGCAGCCTCACTTCAGTTGTTTGTCTTTTGAATTAAAAATGCAGCAGAGCAGACTAGACAAACTAAGCAGAATGGCTGTTAAAAATCAACAACAAGCCTCTACGATCCATTAAGTCGCTGTGTAAACAAATTCAGTAATATGCTGATGGTCTGTGCAGTTTGCATAGAGAGCAGCACAAACACAGGCAGATGGGGAACATTATAGAATCATTTTTGTTTGTAGATTTACTGCGTGCTGTGCGTTTCCTCTTTTTAAATTTGCTTTTACTTTAGATTGTGACCATTTGGCTGATGTTTTGACAGTTAAGGAAAGAGCAGAGTAAACATGAAGTCCATATCGGCAATGATATGAGCGAGCAGCAACAAGAAAGAAATTATAGTTTGTTGTTGTTTGTTTTTTTTAAGTGTTTTTAACCAGTATTTAGTACATTTAACTTAACATGTAGTGCATTTGACTGCAGGTATCCATATCTAAACAGCTTACAAGAACAGCAAAATAAAACAAACAAGTGAGCAACACTGGTGTGCTCGGGAACCGCGGACTCCACCACCAACGCTGAAAACCACTACTGTGTATATAATATATGTATTTTTTAGAGAAAGAGAGACATAACTGTGTATAGTGTAGATTGGCATATTAACAGTGAAGACTGTGAAACTTATCAACAGAATAGTCATTCTTACGAGCCAGTGAAATTAAAATATTTCCTATTTTTCTGGGGATTCACCTGAATAATTGATGATGCTGTATATAGCATCATTGTATTCTTTAACCATAAAAACAAAGAGATCTACATCTATACACTCAGATATATTGTTGCTTGCACGGATTTTCTGTGCGATTGCGAAGCATCTGCTCTTGCTCTTGGATGTTTTTGGGCAATGAATTAATAGGAAGCCAGCCTTGTTGCTTTATTATATGTACTTCTCTTGCACGTTTTGGTTTGCAAATCTGAGTGCAAACAGGGGATTTTGAAATGCGAGGGCATAGTTTTGAGGGGAAAGCATTAAAAATCTGAATTTCAAATCAATCAATCATGTTCTCAAACTAAAAAACCACACTCTTGAATACAGATAGAAAAAGAAACATAGACATCGCCTATTCTCTGTTATCATGTTTGGTTCAGGAGATATGAGGATAAAATACGTTTCATGCTTGAGTTGATGTTTGTGTGGTTTTCTTCTCAGAGGAGATTCTGCATTCACATTTGGCTCACTGGTGGTCGCCTGACGGAGAGAAACTGGCGTTCCTCACCATCAACGACACCCTGGTGCCCAACATGGTTCTGCCCCAGTTCACCGGCAACACCTACCCCAAAGGACTACAGTACCCATATCCTGTGGTAAATACGTACCTACTTACCCGCTTTAATTTCATACAACCCTTATATTTAGTGGTTGAATTGCCATAGTGCTCTTTACACTGTTTATTCTACTACACTAAGTGGCCATATTCAGGTTTGGATTAAGTGGTCTTTAACCCATTAGATACAGCAGATCAAATGTTGCTTAAGTCCGATAAATCAATCTGATTCAGTCTTTTTTAATATTTTCTGCCTCTCAAATGTGAAGATTAACTGCTTTTTTTGGTCATCTGTGATAATAAACTTAATAAAAAACCAAGAAATGTGAATTATAATGGATATTTTTCACTATTTCCTTTTTTTACTATCCTGCCCTACAAAATGTATTAAACACAGTCAGACCCAAGGATAATTAGATAATTAGAATATATCTCCAAAATACAGAATAAAACACCAAAAGCATGTAAAAAAGCAGCAGCAGAATACTAATAACTATTCAATAAATTAAATATAAGTAAGTCATTTCCTACATCTAGAATATTAAAGGGCTCCTTTACAAGATTAGATTAAAATGCAGGACCTGTCTTTATCATCTCAGTTTATACTGTGCTTTAGAGGCCCATATTCCCAAACAAATGGACCAAATTAACACAAGCTAATTAATGTACAATGATCATGTGGCCTTTGAAGGCCATTAATGGTCTGGGTTACAAATAAAGCAGATAAATTAACTTTACTAAATATAAAGCAGATTGAAGGTTTTAAAAAAAAGGCATTAAAGCTGCAGTAGGTACATTTTATAAAAAATAATGTTGTTCCATGATTGCTTTCACTATATCCAGACAGCAGTATGAGACTGATAATCTGTGAAAAAAATCTGGTTCCTCCGGCTTATTCCAGTGCTCCTAATGGCATTTGCAAGAATCCACCTGGCCCAAACGGTTGATTGTTGAGTCAGTATTTGACGACCTGTGAATGAGACTCGACAAGTTACCTACTGCAGCTTTAAGTGAAGTTGCTTCAAACACTTTTTAATTACTTCTGCAGCATCTGAACGTATAAAATGTGCCAAAACTAAATGTGTAGTGGAGGACTTGCTTCCTGAAATACCCTCAAGGTCATTTCAGCAACACGCAGCAGAATGCAGAGTCGAGTTTATTCAGCGCGGTGCTGTGTGGATTATCAGCTTTACTAATGGATGGCAGGTCAGGACTTTCCTCTGTGGTTTCGAAAAGAAAACTAAACCATCCTCCTGCCACTGAGGAAGAAAACAGATGCTTTTCAGGAAGATTCATTTGTTCTGCTCTATTATTAACATTACTGGAAGCAGTGGCGGACTCAGGCTGTTTGAGGGGCAGGGCCGGAAAAATAAAAAGGGCACCAGCTTTTTATTGTGTTTTGTCCGTTGGGAGGAAACCGGAGAGGGCACTTTATCATGTTTTATCTACCATATGGGCATCCAAGAGGGCACTTTTGCTGTTTTTTTCAAACATAAGGGCACCAGGGGGAGCAGTGTTTCAGTGTCCTGTTGAACATCTGTGCAGCTGTTTAAGATGAAATCATGACACAAAAACCAGAAGAAGTATGAGGGGAAGCACCTTGAGTGGTTTAGTTCTCGTCATGTATGTTTTAGTCCAACAATTCACACAGGTTGTGGCTTTTTAAAACTTTTGAAAGGGGTTCAACACTAAGAAAAAAGATGAAACTACAAAATATTCTCACGACAACCACTGAGGTCCTGTTTGTCCTCCGCGTTTTAAAAAAGTTTCGGCATTCATACAAAGATGCTGAAAACACGATCCTCAAGCACATGAATCCGGGTCATGCCGGGCCAGTAGGTGGTTTGTTTTTTAGTTTTTATTATTTATGTCTTGTCCAAAAACTTCTTTTTGGTTGCCCTCCGTTGCAGTAGAGGTGGATCGAGTACGTGACTGATAATAATGATAATAAACTTTATTTATAAAGCGCCTTTTCAGAAGAGTTACAAGGTGCTGTACAGTGCAAACATTAGAAAGTAAAAACAGGAATAATAATATGAAAACAATAAAAACTTTAAAGGTGAAAATAACCGGCTTAGTTTTAAGCCTTTGGGGTTTGAGTCAGCGGACCTTGCAGTACAAACACAGCTCGATAATCCGCCTTTGTTGTTGTTGTTGTTCTGTTTGTGCTCGGTGCTTTTGGCTGAATGTATATCATATGTTATAATAACTGATATTGATATCATCTGCCTCTAATCTTCCACCTTCAGGCCGGTCAGACGAACCCTGCCGTCAGGTTGTCGGTGGTCAACCTGTTCGGAGCGACGCACACTCAAGAGCTGCAGCCTCCGGATCAGCTCAGGCTCAGGTGACACACACCCACACACACACCCACACACACATATATAAATAAATACAGCAGTGGCACACACACACACACACACACAGGCACAAAATCCTCAGTCTGATTCTCCTCTGCAGGGATTTCTATGTCACCATGGTGAAGTGGATCAGTAATACTCACCTCGTGGTGCGGTGGCTCAACCGGCCCCAGAATGCTTCACTGCTGACGGTGTGTGACGCCACCCTAGGACTGTGTCTTCAGGTGGGTGTCAGAGATTAGGATGAGATACTAGTAAGTAACTAAGTATATTAACTCAAATACTGTACTACAGTTGAGGAACTTGTAGGTATTGAATATTAAGCTACTATCTGCTCCTCGTGTTACTCCACTACAGTTACTAGTTACTTGACTCTATTTGTACACAGTAAACCAAAATCCAATAGTATACAGTACAGTATATAACATGGACCCTGCTTCTAATTAAAGTTCTACAGTTATGCATTATAGATATGACCTTCATAGGAAGTGTTCAAGGTAAAGTTATAACCATCAACTGTCATGTGATTGTCTTTATAAATCAGGTTATTGCATATAACTTATGTGTATGTATGTATTTATTTCTGGAAAACAACCGTGTTTCTACAAACTGAATCTCTAACTCTTATATATGACATACACCATACAAGACTAAATAACTTATATAGCACATGCTTTCTTCCCTCTAATTCAGAGACACGAGGACTCCTCAGACTCATGGCTCTCCAGACAGGTAAACCTGAATACATATCTCATAACAGTATTCAGCAACAGAAAGACTTCAAATTAAATTCAGACCTCTAGTTATATACTGTATTATCCTTAAAGCAAATATATGTTGCATTATTGAGGAGGGAATGCAGCAGAAGTCATGCATGCATGAAGGACGTCACCTCTGAGGTCTGTGTTTGTCTCTGCAGGGACAGGAGCCGCTGTTCTCCAAGGACAGGAGCAGGTTTTTCCTCACTCTGCCCGTGAAACAAGGAGGTCAGGGAGATTTTCACCACATCACAATGTTCACCAGAAAGGTGACTATTCTGCCTCTTTACCCTCCGCATCCCGTGTCTTTTCTCTAGCTCTGATTGGTATCCTCTCTGTGCAGAAAAAGTTTATTTTAGCGTCTTGTGTTTCTAATCCTCCGAACCGATTTTCTTTCAGTTGCGAAGTGAGCAGGACGAAGTTCGACACTTGACGTCAGGAGACTGGGAGGTGACCAAACTCGTAGCTTATGATGAAAACAACCAGATCGTGTAAGTACAAGTTTTGCTTCTCAGAATAAATAAAAAACAAAAAGCACCTAAAATTAAATGGAAATTGATATAAAGATAATGATGATTGTGTTACTTACTTCAGCTACTTACTTATTTAGTTCATATTGTGACTTGTACTTATAAAAGCGCCACTTCAAACTGATGAAAGACAGAAAAAGTCTTATTTTACAGTCTCCAGTAAACGTGTTGCAGCATCCATATGTTTTGTAGTTTCTGTCTTATTAAAAGGTTTGTGCACCATTACTACAAATTCAGCTCCATTCTGTAGAAGAAAAGAAGCAGACGACGGTTCTGTGTTTGAAAGCATCTATTGTCTGACAAGCTTAGCGAGCCTCAGGGTTCATGATTGTATAAATCTGTATTTATGGTCGGTCAACCATAATGTGCTCTGACTTGTGCAGGCAGATCTATAATGGATCCATGACCTTGTCCTACTTTAGCTGCTCTGCTTTGCTCCACACAGATACTTTCTGAGCACAGAGGACTCAGCCCAACAGAGACATCTATACAGGTAAAACATCTCTGCTGCTCAATAAATGAACAATATTGTGTTTGTTTACTTATTTTTCCAACGTTTATGTCATTTTCCAGCATTATGTGTGACGCACGTAGCTCGGGTGCGTGCTCAGTAAACATGTTGTCTCCTTCTATTCACAGTGTGTCCACGCTCGGCCTGTTTCCACGGCGATGCCTCACTTGTGGACTGAAGGAGGAGTGTTCGTTCTTTGACGCCGACGTCAGCCCCGATGCACGGCATGCCATCCTGCACTGTAAAGGTCAGAGACAGTCAGGAAATTGATGTAATTTGAGGTTTACTACATTTCAATCAATCTAGCAAATATTTGATTGATGATTAAATTACTTCTTTTTTTTACCTGAAAATGCAGTTGGAGTTGCTTCAACTGGAAAATGAAAGTTACTTATCAATCAATCAGTCAAACTTTATTGGTATAGCCTCTTTCATACAGTTCAAAGTGCTTCACAAACAATTCACAGACGATAATAAGACAGAATGGAGCTCAATAAGGTAGATTTAATAACAGAATATAATGATAAAATGACAATAAACTAAAATACAATTCGATTTTACAGGTATAACGATAGTATTTAATAAAAGCTGTACTAAACTAAATCAAATAAATTAGGAAAGAAGGCAGAAATAAGGTTAAATATATATGTGTAGTTAAAGGTCCAGTGTATGGGATTTCATGCCATCTAGCGGTGTAGTTGCAGATTGCAACTCCCTTACTTCACTCTCCACCTCCAAGCACGAAGGAGAAACTACGGTGGCCGCAAACAGCCTCTGTCTAGAGCCAGCTTTGTCTGCTCTGGGCTACTGTAGAAACATAGCGGTCCAACCTGGCGGACTCTGTATAAAAACAGCTCATTTCTGGTGATTAAACACTTAATGAAAACATACACACTGGACCTTTAAATACAAGCACTAATCGGTAAATAATTTATTAGTTCCTGATTCATACAAACAAAACTCACTGTTAATCAGTTGCTGTATAGACCAAAATAATCTGGCTGCCTCTATATAAACTTTCTTTTTGCCCTTTCTGTTTGGTCTAGTCCTCCTACTTTGGATAATGGCATAATGATGGAGCTTCTTAACCACCTCCAAAAAGTCAGCAATTTAGCTTTAAATATAAAATTCATGAAAACAATATTCTATCCCATCGCAGGTCCTGGAGTTCCAGCTGTGCTGCTTCTATGTTTTGATGACGTGTACTGTGAGTAGTCGCTACTATTTTTTGTGTTTCTGTGATATGTTTGTGTGGGCGGACAGATGTTCCCTGAAATGGAAAATAGTTTGCAGCGATTAAGCATCATCATCTCATTCGTGTGAAAACACCAGCAGCTGTTGGGATTTGACACCGTGCCAAATCTTCACTGGCAATTAGTACATTTCAAGATGTTTGTGCTTCACACTTCAAATGGCCATTCATCTCCACAATTGTGTTGTTTAAGATGGCTAATAGGTCAGGTTATAAGGGGAAGTGATGCACAATGATACTCAGCTGCAAAGGGAACCTCAGATGTTGAAAAGTGTGTTGTTTCTTCATGGTACATGTGCAGTATAGGAAGCCTGCCTACTATGTGGATTAGTGGTTATAAAATAAAAATGCATTCCTATAGATAAAGTGCTGAATATTTTATATGAGCTCTTCTTTATGTCTGCATGACCTCACGGTTCACCGTTGCTTCTATCCCGAGAGGAATCGTGACTATATGAGAAGAAATGTCATCTTTAGATACTTTGCTGTTCATGATAAAGTATAAAGGACACATACAGGACAACTGGGAATTAAAGGTACAGCTCAATGCTCAATGCTCACAGTGCCTGTGTTTTAGTCTGCATGTGTATTTACAGCAGAGAGAGTCCGTCACGTTCCAACAATAAAGAGCTAAATTGAATAGATATAAAATAAATCCTTCATTAGATCTTTAAAGATTGTCTTTATGACCTTTTTTTTGGCCATTTGGGAATTTCTATAGGGTGAAAAATCCAATTCAACTTCAATACTATCTTATATAATAATAATATTAATATAATATCTTTTTTTATCTGGTTTAGTGGCGGTTCTTTGGTTTAAAACCTTTTCCCTTTAGGGACCTGTCATTAAGTAAACTGAATATTTTAAGGATAATAACAATAACAATACACAACTAATAAACTGTACAATTAACGGCAGGAAGTTTGTGCAAAATGAGTGATTTGGATGAATTTTAACTTTTCTAATGGGCAGCTGTGGCTCAGGTGGTAGAGCTCATCGTTCACTAATTCGATCCCCAGCTCCTCCCGCTGCACGTCAAAGTGTCCTTGAGCAAGATACTGATCCCTAATTTGCTTCCGATGCTGTGCGTTGGTGCATTAATGAGTAAGGTTGGTGATAAGCCTTTGCCATCAGTGTGTGAAGGGGTTAATGTGGCATGTAAAAACACTTTGAGTGGTCGGAAGACTAGAATGATGCTATTTAAGTACAATCCATTTACCTTGTATTGCAGGATGAGGCTGTTGAGCAGAGAGTGAAAGTCAATATGAGATGTCTTTATATATATATATACATATATATATATATATTTGTGGGCTTCTGGCATTTATTTGACTGCTGAAGATATACAAAGGGTAGAGACAGAGGAAGTGCCATAAAGCTAATTATTTAGATCATTTAGTTCACAGAAATTAAATAAAGGGGAGGAAAACTTTTCTCTGGGGCTAAAGTGTCCCCTGTATTAGAGTCCTCACAACTCTGTGGAGTTAATTAGACTAATAATCAATCAATAACACATCAAATAGTAGTAAGAACCCTTGAAACCCACCAAACCAGGTAATTAAAATGACAGTATTTAGGTAAACGCCTGTGTACAGATTTTTAACCAAAAGACTCCTGTATGTGTCGTCAACTTAAGGTACTGCTTGATCTTTCTGTTTAATTTGAAATAAATAAATAAGAGCTTATTCATACTCTGATAAATCTGATATGATTTCTCATTTCACAGCGTATTTCATCCTGGAGAACAACCTCCCTCTGCGGTCTGTGCTGGAGACTAAAAAGACGACCCAGACGGAAATACAGATGATTAATAATGACAACTTTGGTACAAATTATCTGCACTTAACATCTGTGTGTGTGTGTTTGTGTGTATTGATTTGCACACATGACATATCTTCATGAGTTAATTGAGCTATTTATGAATGGCATGAGTGTTCTTCCTGTTTGTGTGTCCTCTGGTTCCCCTCCTTCAGCTATAATGCTTCTGTCTCCTCCTCACAGAGCTGCCTCTGAAGCTCATCTATCCTCCTGACTTCTCTGAGTCTTACCTCTACGGCCTCCTCCTTATTGTGTAAGCTACTTTATTACAGTTACATTTTAATTTTTTGAGCTTCAAAGAACATTGAGGACAGCTTCCCTCCTCTGCAGGCTGTTAAATACATCTGACAAATACAGGCGTAATAAATGAAAATAAAAAGGGATGTTAGAGGACCAAATGTAAATTTAGCTACAGTTTTAATGTCCTATAATCATTTTTGTATGTACAAGTAAGTGATAAAATGCTTCTGAAGCTCAAGTTAAAACTGTTATTATATAGAAAAACAGCATATTAGCATCATAGCATTTTATATTGCCTTACATGTTTAAATTAGCAGTGCTGCTACATATTTACAGCATGCATTTAATTCGCTAGAAGCACTAGTAACATATTACTGTCACTAAACTAACAAACTAAACCTCAAAATTGTACTTTAAAGGTCCAGTGTGTAGTTGCAGATTGCAACTCCCTTGCTTCACCCTCCCTTTCCAAATGCGAGACTTGTATTAAGCTGCATACTGACAAATAATGCTGGTAGCCCCCCGAAGAAACACTGATTTGTGACTTGAGGGGGACTTTAAATTAAGTAAACAAGCATAAATACAGTCAGTAATGAAATATTGTGTATGTATGGTTCTGTCCTCACAGCGGCGGTTCTCCAGGCGACCAGGTGGTGACAGAAGAGTTCAGGCTGGACTGGGACTGGGTGCTGGTGGGATCGGAGCAGATCATCGTAGCGCGACTCGACGGCAGAGGGTCGGGGTTCAGAGGTCAAAGGTACATAGAAAAGCCCAAACACTCCAGAGCTTCTAGTCGCATCTACTGATCTCTGACCCGTCGTCTTTATCTCCGTCTCTTCACAGGGTTTTACAGCAGGTCCATCAGGGGCTCGGCACGGTGGATGCAGAGGACCAGATAGCAGCTCTGGAGTGCGTAACACATATTGTCCTGTCTGTGTGTATAACTTTAAGTTGGGTACTGTGTCCGTATCTATTTCTATTCATGTGGAAAAGCTTTGAAGGTGCTTTTCTTTGAGAAAAAATGTTAAAATTTCAGAGACTTTCAAATAGTCTGAAGGAGGGTTTCAGTAATGCAGCAGGCAGCAACATCCTGTGTTTGAGCTGAACTCATCATAAATTGATAAAAGAAACCAGGTCCAGTGTGTTGGATTTAATGGTACCAAGCGGTGTAGTTGTTAATTGCAACTCTCTCGCTTTATCCTCAGCCTTCATCTTTCTTTTATATGAATATTTTTGCGTTTTTAGGTTAAGTTTTGTTTGTTATGGGGGACTCACATTGGTTTCTCATTGTAATTTTTAGTCTGTATATCATTTCATCTGGAAAGCACTTTGTTAGCATTTAACTCAGTGGTGCTTATAATTTGGAAAATGCTGTATTATTATATTGTCTTTTTTTATCTGTTATAAAAAAATATAAAAAATCTGTTATTCCTCTCTCTCTCATCAGTGGAGGCAGCACAGCAGTAATGTCGGTATCTCCCTGTGGCTGTGACCTTTGCCCTCCTCACTTAATAGTCTGTGAATTGAAACCTCTCAGTCACTTTGCATCAGAGCTTCAGCTGAGAGTGTGAAATTCTATGTAAAAGTATTATTTCTGATGCTTTCAGATGCAGTAGTCCTCTTGTTATTTGGTTGTTTTAAAGCGTTTCCTCTCTGTGCCTCAGGTACCTGGCGAAGCTGCCGTTCGTTGATCGCACTCGAGTCGGGGTCTTCGGAGAGGTTCGTCTGTCGGACTCTGAATTAATCAAAGCTGATTCATCTTTATTGGCTGTGTGGTTGAAAAACTCAATGAGGCTTACTTAAGCTGTGATAACTCGTTACTGTACAAGAGATCATTTATGAAGACACTCATAGGACATAGGAACTTTAAAAAGTGCAAAAAAAAAACTAAAATTTAGGAATATTAATAATTTTTCGTATTATTAATGATAGAACACAAATAAATATGTGTTATTGTGCAGCAGACAGTGTATTTTTCCATCCAGATGGTCTTTGGAGAATTATTGAAATATTGTATTTATTATTCAGAAAAATGAATACTTGGTACAGTGACTTCAATTTGACAGTAGATAACACATCAGGGTTACAAACTGGAGCTAATGGTAGCTGTACTATTGTCTGCAGCCTCACTCATTAGTCGATGAATTAAACTCGTATTATATAAAAAAGGACTATTGAAGCAGTGTGGATAATATGCTTGCATGTCCCAGTGTCCCAGTTTCTTTCTCCAGCTTAGTGTTTGACTTCATACCCCAATCAGGGGAGTTTCCAGATGTTGGGTTGGCCTGTCCACCCCATTGTCCTTACCTCTTCCACTCCCTCCGTCTTACAGAGGCTGGAGCGTGCTCTGTTAAAGCTAGGGTGAAGTTTGTGTCTTATCAATTAGATCCCCTAACGCATCCATGTCTTATCAATTAGATCCCCTAACGCATCCAACCACGACGTGCTATCATGTTGGAAAGGGGGCTCATTAACGCTCCTGAATCAGGGTAAAGAAACTGGCATGGCCATTTTTAAAGGATCCCTTTGATATGGTATACATTTTAGCCTATATTTCTGCAGACTGGGATCCATAAACAGTGTTGGAATTGGAAATAAGACATATACCTTTATCCACTGGATGAAGCAGTATCTCAGCTTGTGTCGCCCCCCCCCCCCCCCAGCCAATAAAGTCTGGAAACATCCAGTAACTTGGAGTGTAAACACACCAAATGTGTTCAGCTGTAAAGGAGACATACAGTATGTAGTTAAGTTGCCAACACCTTTTATAAATAAAAGTGTTTTTCTACTGACTCTGAAGGTGCTAAAATCATTTTTTTTATAGGTTAAAGGTTCACAAAAAATACTAGCAGAATACTGAACAAACACCTGCATGACAAATATTATACGTGCAAGTTCTTAATTCATTCCTGTCGTTTTTTTCTGCTTTGTTATCCTCTAAATCTGAGCGTATTTTCCTCAATCAGGACTACGGAGGCTACCTCACCCTCATTATGTTGAAGTCCACAGAGAAGCTGATCAGATGTGCTGCAGCTCAGGCTCCTATCGTCGACTGGTCCATGTACGGTGAGCAAAGAGTTAAATCACTTCATATGTTCCCTCTCCTTCAATGCACTCTGCAGGAATGTGGAGATATTTATTACTTCTGCTTATGCTGCGCCGCCAACTCTCGTCATTTCTTTATCCAGGATGTCTTTATCCTACGTGGTGTATTGTCTGGGTAATGTGACTTTAATTATCCTCAGGTTCTGCTTCTGGGAATTCGGTCTTATTAAATTTTAGGATGAAAAGCTTCCTTCATTTCTCGGAGCGTCGACTGAGTATTAGAGCTACTGTACAGCCGAGGAGATACAGCTGTATGTGATTATAGTTTAATAGACTGAAGAGTGTCTGTAAATCTTCTGGTTCCTGTGTTTCTAATAAGTGCAGGCAGAGCAGAGGAAGGATTTTTAAACACGCTGTGCATATGGGTTTCTCTTATCTCACTGTAACACATGTCAAATCTCTGTTAAAGATCCTAAAACAACATCCTAACATCTTTTCTTTGTGCTTCCAGCCTCTGCGTTCTCGGAGAGATACCTCGGCTCACCTTCAACCGAGGAAAGCAAATACCAAGTGAGCTGCTTTTACCAGTCGTCGATCTGTTGCTGGCCTTGTTTTTATTTATCTTTATGTCGCTAATCGCATCTTTTCCAGCAGCTGGATGTATGACTCTGCAATAAAACCCCTAATTTAAAAAATCAACCAGAAATATTACAGATTCAGAGTAAATAACTAACTAATATCCCACAACAAATCTGTTCATTACCCGTCTCTCTGTTTCCTCCTGCCCTTGTCTCACCACTCGAGGCTAACTGCTCTGTTGCCCACCCCAAAAAATAACATTATAAATACATATAAAGAGATATAAAGTTGAATAAAGCTTGAAAGCTTTTTAGAAACAGTTTTTCAGCCTCCAGGATTCATGGCTCTCAGTCCTCCATATTTTCATCTCATCCTAATTAAGCCTTTAAACTAATTAACTTTAATCTAATCAATGTATCTGCGACAGTGTGAGGACTATTATGAGATTGGAATAACAGTTGAATTATGTTTATTAATTTAGCCAGAATCAACACAAAATGAA